GGCCCTCCCAGAGACGGCGGCACCCCCAGGGGCCGTGCCAGAGACACAGGAGTCCTGCCAGGGGCGCTAGCATCCTCAGGGGCTCTCACAAGGACAGCCGCACTCCCGGAGGCCATCCCAAGGACGGTTGCGCTCCCAGTGTGCGTGCAAGCGTCAGTGGCGCCCCCAGGGGACCCTGCCAGGGGACCTGGCGCTACCAGGAGTCTCCCAGGTACAGCGGATATACCAAGGGTTCTCTCATGGACGGTGGAGCCCCCTGGGACTGTCCCAGGAACAGCGACGCTAACAATGACCCGCCCAGGGATTGTGACACTCCCAGGGACCGTGCCATGCGCGGTCGGGCCTCCTGGGGCCCTCTTAGGGAGGGCCTCTTGGAGTGCGGTTGTCTTTGGCAGAGCCCCTGAGGGTGCCAGCGCCCCTGGCAGGGTTTCTGGGGGCGCCATCGGCCCTGGCACGGCCCCTGGGAGCGCCACCGTCCTTAGGAGGGTCTCTGGGAGTGCGGCTGTCCTAGGGAGAGCCCCTGAGGGTGCCAGCGCCCCTGGCAGGCATCCCTGGCAGGCATCCCGGGAGCACCATCGGCCCTGGCACGGCCCCTGGGAGTGCCGCTGTCCCTGGGAGAGCACATGGGAGCGCCACCGTTCTAGGGAGGGCAGCCACCACTAGTACAAGAGCCCACTAGTACAGTTGTTTTTGCACGATCTAAAACTCTGGGAGATATGACGTTAAAAAATACACCGCCCATCACATTTCCAGTATCTTCGCAGACCTCAACACTGAAAAGGAGAATAAATATCCAACAGGAAAACATAAGTTGGGGTGTTGTGCTGACTGGAGGCTCTGTTCTCCTATTGGCTGTAATTTATGGATTAACATTTTGATTCACCAATCACAGTTAAGTAAGGAATTGCCGGGTATATGCACTATGTACCACACCACGATCAAGCCCCTGGGGGCGCCGTCGCCTCTTGGAGGGCCCATGGGGTCACTGCAGCACCTGGGAGAGCCCCTGGGAGCACTACCGCCCCTGGGAAGGCCCCTGGGGACGCCACCACTTCTGGGAAGGTCCATGGAGGCGCCACCGCCCCTGGGAAGGCCTTTGTGGGTGCCGCCGCTCCTTGAATGGCCCTATGGGGAGCCACCGCACCTGGGAGGGCCCCTAGAGGCACCACCGGCACTGAAAGAGCCTCTGGGTGCGCTGCCACACCTAAGGAAGGCACCTGGGGGCGCCGTTGCCCTTGAGAGGCCATTGGGGGCGCTGCCGCTATTGAAACGGCCCCTCGAGAGCGCTGCTGCCCCTGTGAGTTCCCCTAGGGGTGCCTCTGCATCTGGGAGGGCCCTTGAGGGCGCCACCGTTCTTGGGAGCGCCTCTGGGGTGCCACCGCCCGTGGAAGGGCCTCTGGGGGAGCCGCCGTTCTTGGGATGGCCGCCACATCTAGTACAGCAGCCCACTAGTATAGAAGCCTACTAATACAGGAGCCCACTAGTTCAGGAGCCCACTAGTACAGGAGCCCACTAGTTCAGGAGCCCACTAGTACAGGAGCCCACTAGTACGGGAGCCCACCAGTACATGACACCACTAGTACAGGACCCCACTAGTACAGGAGCCCACCAGTACAGGAGCCCGCCAGTACAGAAGCCCACTAGTACAGGAGCCTACAGGGCCCACTAGTACAGGAGCCCAGGAGCCCACTAGTACAGGAGTTCAGCTGATCAGAAACACACAAACAGTCTTCAGGGTTATGGTAAACCACACACACATCCTGCCTCCACCCCCACCCCATAGTAAACAGAAACAAAATTAACAAATATAAACATTACGAAAAAATCCATCGACTTCAACATTAAAAAAAATACAGAATAAAAATCGTCAAAAACACGTAATTCAACATTTTTTTTTGTATCAACCTGAAAGTGACCTCGAAAAAATGTTGATTAACCGCAGCTCCCCCAAAAAACTTGCTGTAAAACTGAAAATTACGATGAAAGTATGCAATAAAATGGTACCTAACCAGACCAGCTGCAACAACCACACCGAATGATTCTAAATTGCAAAGAAAATTGGCAATCAGCCCATTTTTAGAACGTAGAAAAGGTTGTACAATTATATGGCACCGATTGGCTAATCTTCAATGGTTTAAAGTAATGTTCAAACCGGTAATTACAGTCCGTTATTTTTTTTAATTATTTTCCCCCTTTATTGTACATTGTTTCGTCTCTCTCTTCTCTCCCTTTCTCTTTCTCTCTCTCAGTCTCAATCGCCTCCCTATTGACTAAAGCCCCTTTGCCCTGTGAGCGAAGCCAGCCAATTACCTGTAGGGATTTTCATGACGTCATATCTAAAAGCCAATCCTTCCTCTGTTACACTTACGGCTTCTTCCCTACCTGCACTTCTGTCGTTTCAATTGGCTGAGAACTATTCATCTGTAATCGACCTCAGCCAATCGTCAATAGAAAATTCGATTACGTCATACATAAAAACCAATCACCTGGGAATGTGATACGCCACCTCGGAACACTCAATTCTTTATGTTGTTATATAAATGAATAAACATGGGTGTCTATGTATAATTAGTCGTTGTTCCCACTGGTTTAAGCCCATTAGTCAATGCGTGACGTCATATACAAAAACGTCTTATATGCGTAAATAAACCAATCTCCGTTAGGGAATCTGAATACGTCATAGAGAACAGCCAATTATCTTCAAGAAATCTGATGTCATAACATATAAAAACCAATCACCGTTAGGGAATCCGAATACGTCATAGAGAACAGCCAATTACCTTTTAGGGGGGGATTTCATAGCATCATCCATAAACACTAATCCTCCGTTTGTTTCCGAGACGAAATGTTTCTGGCATATTGTAGGTTTGTTAAGGCAAGGATTCCCGGGGATGACGCTAAATAACAAGCGGCGAGGGGCAGAGACATGACCAGATAGGCCATACAAATGAATAATCTCGTATTAGGATTAACCAGAATGATTTTTCGATAATCAGCTGGTTTAGAGGGGAAACAGGTGGTGTGGGGTTTAATAATCCATATATCCTCATACAAGTCCTGGATAAATGTTCAGTCTAAGGGCTTAAGGGAGGGGTGTGGCCTGACGGACTGGCTACCTGCTTGTGTCTCATGATTAAAAGATAGGTAAAAAATTATATAATGTTCCAGGATAGGTTAGGTTAGGTTAGGTTAGGTTAGGTTAAGTCTATATAACTACTTGGATATTAAGTTATTCAGGTAATGTGTATAATGCTGGAACACCTGTAATACCATATACTATATTTATGACTATAATTCATTCAATAATTTATCGAGAGAGGCCTGATAGTTGTAATATTTAGTATAATTATTATAGTGAGGAAATTTAGTTAAAATATAGATGTATTGTTCAGTAGTGGTTGGTATAATCATAGTAGTGGTGTTGGTTAGTATAATTCAGTGGAGGTTAGTGAATAATGGAGGTAGTATTTAGCAAATTATAGAGGAAGAGTTCACTAAAATCATAGTAGAATCTGAGTCGTTATCGTGTGTGTGTGTGTGTGTGTGTGTGTGTGTGTGTGTGTGTGTGTGTGTGTAAAAAAAAACAAGTCATTCTCTGAAGTTCTGGATTCGAGTTGTACATCTATTAAAATTTATGACTTCCGGTGGTAAGCGAAACCTTTAATTTTGTCGTGTGATTTAAGTGTCTGTGGCATTCATCTAACATTCCGGAAATTTTTTATTGTTGTTGTGTTTCTAATGAGAAAATCTCTCTCTCTCTCTCACTCTCGGTCTGTCTCAATGATATGCTAAACCACCTCACTTAGAAAGGTGTTCATGATAGCCAAGATGATTTGCATATAAACACAGTTAACTTGATCTAATTTACATACAAGATATAACTGAATACATCTCCTTCGTATTAACACACCTTAAAGAGAACCGATCATTTGGGCTCAGGTGGAAATCTCTTGTTGCTAACTAACGCTCAATAGGTGTTAATATACCTCCACTGTTTCTCTTAGGTTAAAAGAGCGGCTCTGCTTCTGCTTTAATATACCGTATACTTGCCTGGGTGCAGCTCTGGTCTGTGTCAGTCATACCAGCCTGTTGTATATCATGTAGTCAAGAGTCATATCCTGTGATTTCATGGTCCAATAACTCGCTCTCTACCTGAAGCTAAAGTTATATAGTGGTCGTACCCTCAATATACAACAGGTATATATAACACTAATTAGGTATAACTGCCGAGTAGTGATAACTTCTATGTCTTTATATTTTGGGGGAAACTTCTAACTGGCCATAAACGAGCATAACAGATCATCATAAATACATATAAATGATAATTTTATACAAAACTAATTTATTTGAAAGATTAACACCAGCGTTTTAATGACCTTCAAATTTTCAAAACAATATAAACCAATTTTACTACTTTACATAATTATTACCGAGGTTTAACATATTCTAGAACAAAATTATCACTCACATTTAACACAATATATGACCCACATTTAACACACTCCAAAGAAAGAGTAATAATGCCTTTCACGTTAGCCACAGGACACAACTTGCAACGCTCGTCTACACACCAGGAAGACACATTAATATTCAGAGGAGTAAGTTCTCACGTCTCCACTTTTCTTGGGCTTTAAATCACGTGAGGTGGTTCTACAGGAGGGACCATCTGATACCCTCGCATGCCTGTCTACCTGTATGCATATTAGTCTACCTACATTATTCTCGCTGGTAGGGACGGACTGGCCATCTGGAGTACCGGTAGCTGGGCAGGTCGATCTGTGGGCTGGTGGGCCGGCAAGGACAACCCCCAAGGTAGGAAAAGTAAATAATGCAGGCAGCCCAGTATCTGTGGTCCTGTGGAGATCACTGAGTTCTGTTCGTGCACATGACCAGGCTGCCAGACTCTGTAGCAGCACCGTCTACTAGTTTAACAGTGTGTGTGTGTGTGTGTGTGTGTGTGTGTTATCCAGCACCACACACCCCCTCTACCTCTGCTTACCGTCCACCTCCTCACCTATTATCTTAATTAACCTTCAATAAAGTAACAAAAGAGGCCAATTATCTCACCTGAACAATACTGGAAGACGTGTGACGTATCCCAACTCATATCATCGAAATTAAGTTTAGTGAGAGAGAGGAGAGTGTGACGACGTCTTCAGTGTTGTGGTGAAGTTGTCTTATGAGACTCAGGAAGGTTATTTGCCAAGTGACGTCACGAAATTGTAGGTCTCTCACTCTCTCTTTCTCTCTCCACCTTTGTATCTATCTTGTTATTCTGTCTACTTCGCTGTCTGTCTGTCTATCCAATTATCGCACCTGGCTGAAAATCTATTAGTCCCGGGCTCGAATCCTCTTTAGCAAGGCGGTGTATAATTGACCTTCAATATGACTTACCATCATCCTGTAGCAGAACCTGTAGTATAATCACCAATCTGTTTGACAAGTATCTAACCTCTATGACACATGACATTAGACACAAATAATTGACGCCCTGTTGTGTGTGTGTGTTTATATACGAGATAAACCTCTTGTAGAACAGTTTAATGTCCTGACAAACTCAATTTTCCAAAGAGAAATTCAACTTTTGTGAAGTGTCCTCGCAAGGTCCAATATACAGCAGGTGGAGTAAGCACAGAGGTCTCTTGAGGTTCCTGGACCCACAATCCGTCTTCACTCACGAACGCTGCGGATTATTAAAAACTAAACCTGATATATACGTCCCTTCCTAGTTTAATCTTTTCTTTCATTTCTTTTGTTTTCCTTCTATTCTTTCATATTTTTTCTGTGTTTCATTCTTCTATATGTGTAAGTGTCTGTATGTATGTATGTTTGCCTGTGTGTGTGTGTGTGTGTGTGTGTGTGTGTGTGTGCCATTGATTACCGATACTACCTGGGGCGCCTCACTTGAGTTAATGCCTGGCAGTAGGAGGGAATGCGTATCTCCACTGACTTGTTAAGATTCAATTGGGTGGTAAATATAGAGGCCACGGGGAGAGGAGGAAGAGGAAGAGGAAGAGGAGAGGGAGAGAATGAATCAAGAAGGAGGAGGAGGAGGAGGAGGAGGAGGAGGAGGAGGGAGAGAATGAACCAAGGATGAGGAGGAGGAGGAGGAGGAGGAGGAAGAGGAAAGGAAAAGGAGGAGGAGAGAGAATCAAGAAGGAGGAGGAGGAGGAGGAGGAAGAGGGAGGAAGAGGGAGAGGAAGAGGGAGAGAATGGATCAAGGAGGAGGAGGAGGAGGGAGAGAATGAACCAGGATGAGGAGGGAGGAGGAGGAAGAGGAAGAGGAAAGGAGGAAGAGGAAGAGGAGGGAGAGGGAATGAATCAAGAAGGGGGGAGGAGGGAGGAGAGAATGATCAAGGATGAGGGAGGAGGAGGAGGAAGAGGAGGAAGAGGGAGAGGAAGGGGAGAGAATGGATCAAGGAGGAGGAGGATGAGGAGAATGAATCAAGGGGAGGAAGGGGAGGGAGG